GGTTTTTTCCAAATACATAAAGTATGTGCTAAAACGTGGAGCTGACCCAGAAGCAGCTTGATAATGCTGTAATGATGGAAATATGAGGTGACTGGTGAAATATCTATACTGTGTGACTGAACCTATTCTTATAATGGAACAAGACAAATCAGTGAATACATGTTTTTGTGTTATGCTGACTACACTTGGCTTATCTCAGACAAATCAAACATAGACATAACATATTTCACCTCCAAAACAAATGGGGTAAAAATGGCATAAAGTGTTTATGGGTTTAGCATAAAGAAAATGAAGACAGTTGAAAAAATGAAAAAAGTTTTTTTGGACTTTTTGTGCAATTAGACATTTCCACTCAAATTTTCTTTTTTTTTGTTACTATACTAAAATACTAAAAATAATCCTCCCAAGACAGTTTGTTTAATTAAAAACAAATTAAATTGACTTACAATATTACTTTGATGTACAAATGGATGGAAATGTACTGTGGTGTGATGCGCTCCTTTTAAAACTTTTTAAATGGCATTTTAGTTATTAAATTATATTGTTACATTACATTATATTATGACCACATGCTTTTATGGACATATTAATTGAGAGAGTATATGGCATGTTTGTACTTAAATTATTTTGCCACACCATTTGACTATTAAAATGCAAAAAGAGAAAATCTCAGTGGCCCTAAAAACAGGTCTAATGTTTTATGTACACTGAAAAAATTGTGTATTTGTTTACTTTAAAGGGGTCATATGATGCTGCTAAAAAGAACATTATTTTGTGTATTTGGTGTAATGAAATGTGTTTATGCGGTTTAACGTTCAAAAAACACATTATTTTCCACATACTGAACATTATTGTTTCTCCTCTATGCCCTGCCTTTCTGAAACGCGTCGATTCTTACAAAGCTCATCGGTCTGAAAAAAGCGAGGTGTGCTGTCAGAACAGCCGGCATTGTAGTCTACTCTTCCAGGATCAGGAAACAGTCCTCCATAAAATGCGCTGGACACATCGGAATATTTGGGTTGAACTGTTCTGGAACAGTGTTGTAAATACAACTTAACCACTGATTTCTAGTCCTGTCCTCTTTTGGAAGGCCAAACAAAGTAGTTTCGCATTCACAACGAAACACACAGCGTCACTCACGGCGGCTTGAGTGAGCGGAGGCCGGTTTGAGTGAGCGGAGGTGGGCGGGCTTGAGAACGGCGTGGCCGGCAGGCTTGCGGCAACCACATGTGACGACCCCGGGCTGGACTCCGCTTTGTCCACGGTGAAAGCCGATCCGGCGATCCACAACCAGCACGGATCAGCTCCAGGCATGACGAAGCAGATATCGTCCTCTTTTGGAAGACCAAACAAAGTAGTGTCGCTTTCACAACTAAACACACAGCGCCTTCACGACATGGCGGCGGCGGCAACAACAATACTACAGCGAGAATAAAAGTTGGCAAGTAACTGGAATTACCAGTAAATTTCACAAATGATTAAAAAGAAATGTCAAGAAACATTCTGAATATGAAATTTTCAAGTAGAAAAACTTAAATAATATTTTCTTGTAAAACATTCTCCAATAAACTTCCAATAGTTACTTCATTTGTTTATTTATTTACAGTCTATGCAAGTATTATTTCTCTATTTTCATTCAGTACTTCAACTCGTGGGTCCATATTTTTGACTTGGAAGGCATCACTTTCCCAGTCACTGATTTGAATGGGACAGACTTGTGTTTTATCTGTCAGTCTCACAACTCCTCTTCTTTATTCTCTCTCTCCCTCTCTCTGTCATTTGTCACTTGTTTTCAGTGACGTCCCACCCGTCTGTTTCCCCATCACTTCATCTTCCTCATTGTATCCTTTCTTCCACTCTCATCTGTACTCATTCTCTCCTCATCCATCACCCACTCCTTTTCTTTTTTGTCACAACCCACCCCCACCACACTTCTCTCTCTCTCTCTCTCTCTCTCTGTGTGTGTGTGATCTGCTCCTGCTGTCTGCTCCACACATTGTCCAAGATGTTCAGCTCTGATCAAGCCATCATGGCAGATGCTTAATTGTGTCTGCCAGGTCTGTGATGTGCCCACAGTCCCACAATCCCCTGGCAGTCGTGCTCATATAGGGCACTGGTCTTTGTCAGGTGGGATGCTGTGTTTCCTGGCATTTAGCTCTGAAATGTCAGCAGGACAGACAGGATGTAAATAGAAGGGGACTAGTTTCTAAGTGCAGAATCCAAGCTTTCAGGTTTATTTATTAAATTACTTACTTTGGTCTGTTTTGATAATTCTGTGCCACTTTGGCTGAAGAATTATTATTATTATTTATTTATTTTTTTTAGTTTTACTGATTGACCTTGTGTTGGTAACAAACATTATGTGTGGTTTCCTTCAGTGGTAATTCATAAAAATGAGTATTCTGTCACTATCTGTGTGACTGACTTTCTTCTCTACACTCTTACAAATAAAGGTTCCAAAAGTTTTTTTTTTAGCAGTGATGCCATAGAAGAACCATATTTGGTTCCCCAAAGCACATTTCTTAAATTAACCGATCTTTGTAAGTGTGAAGTTTTATTAACCTAAAGAAACTTTTTCCACTATAAAGAACGTTTAGTTGGAACCATTGGTGCCAATAAGGAAACTTTATTTTTATAAAACCTTTACTGGTGTGTAGAACACAGAATGAGATATTTTGAAGAATGTTCATGCTGCTTTTTCCATACAATAAAAGCAGACAGTGACCAAAAGTGTCAAAAATTATCATAAAATAGTCCATACAACTTGTGCACTGTGTATTCTGTGTAAGTCTTGTGTACTGTGTAAGTCTTGTGATATCAGACAACAGTTTTGTTTGAGGAACAGACTGAAATTTAAATCTTACTGTTAGCTGTAGGTCTATTTACATTTTTCACCTATTTCATAAACTTGGCACATCATGATTGGTTATTAGACAGCTTGCTGTATCTTCACACAGCACACCTTAAAGAATTATTGTGAATTCATATATTAATGCTAGACACATTAAGGATAACATGTACCAAAAATCTTTGTCATATCTTTTCAGTATTTTACTAGCCTTTTGTTTTAGAGCTTCTCATGGTGCAAACATGAAATAAACTGCTCTGGTCATGTGACAATTTGCACTAACCATGTGACACTGCACATATTTAATTGAGACCCTTTATAATTTTTTTTACATATTTGCAGGAAATGCACTAAAACACCAGTCAGTAGCATTTTTAGAGCTTTATCAATGAAAACCTTCTTTACGGTCACTATTGTGACCGGTGGGATTAAAAGAGTGCTGTACATTCACTCCCCCCACCTACAATCCCTGCCGGTACGAGACTCGAACCCACAACCTTTGGGTTACGAGTCCGACTCTCTAACCATTAGGCCACGACTTCCCCAACTTGCCTTCTATCACAGCATTATTTCATTTTGCAAGCGGTGCAGGTTTCCATGTCTTTTCCTCTTTCATCATCTCACAGCATGCAGTCACACTCTCACTGAATTCTCATTAAACAGCTCTTTACAGCGAGCCTCACAGGAGACGGCGGCGGGACGTGGGGACATGTCGGCAACTCGCCATCCTTGTGTTCCACGCATTAGCAGACAGTGTCGATACACTCCTGAGCAAATGCATGCTATAATGATAAAAACAAGTTCTTTGATGTGTGAGGAGTTTTAAGAGCCACTTTTAAATGCTTGATGATAAAACAAGTGTTTTTTCTCATTTGGAGGAAATCATGTAAAGTGCGTTTGGAGAGAGTTCTCTTAGGAAATAGTCAATAATGCAAAAACATGGTATTTCAGTTTTTTTTTTTTTAAAGACAAAATCTCTCTTCTGAACCACTTTTATGATGAAATTTCACACTGTATATTTGTTATCTTTGCATTAATATACTTATTTGCATATTTGAAAGTTTAATAATGTTACTTGGACAAGCGCAGCACATGACAAGCACAGATGTTTTAATAACTGCTTGTCCATGTGTGGAAATGTCTCATCACACCAAGGTTTTTATGTGATTAACCTTATCAGAATGTTCTCTAATGGTCATGTTTGTGTTTTTTATAACCTATAATCAACAATATTCAGGGAAGCAGTTGTTAAGTGTAAGTCAATGCAATTTATGTCATGTTTGATGTTTAGATGCTAAAATAAATGCACAATGTGTGTGTGTGTGTGTGTGTGTGTGTCATTTAATTTTTGACAGGAATGAAAACAAGGCTGAGAGGAATTGAAGTACAGTGTGTTGAATGGATAGTATGGTTGTTTAACAAGCATACCAATTGTTTAACTGAGGAAACATCTTTCAGAAAATGAAATTTGGCCAAAAGTTGCCAAAAACTCCATAAAACAGTTTTGAAAATTTCGTGATCTAGGACCTTTATACAGTGTGTGCCATTGTAAAGACTGTACATCTATCCCTCACAGCCTCATTTTCATCAACATTAAATTCAATATGGCATCTAACCTGACTATAGTGTATAGGAAGTGTATGATCGGTTGTCTGTTGCTAAATAACTCTGGCACCACAACTAGTGTAGTTTAAAAAGCTTGTAAGATACAGATAGAATTGTACATATGCCATTTATTCAACAGATCAGGCATTTTCCACTGGCTCCAAATGTGTGGCTCCAAATGTGTGGCAATAAGGATTATGTTCTGTTGAAGTTTTGAAAGGTGTTTGATGTCGCGTTTGAACAGCTCCAAATGTTTCTACAGTTTCATTATCTCACAGATCGTCTGAATTTGAAAGAATCATTACTGAGATGGTCTGTTGTTCTATAGTTCCTCCAAAAAGTATTTGGCAGTTTAAGAGTTTGACACATAAAGAAATCTCTTGTGTCAAAAATCCTTTGATAGTCCTATCAAAATCATCAAAGTCTAAAAGGAGAAATGATCATGCAAATTAGTTGTCACAGCATGCTTTAAACTTTTATTCCAGATCATTCCTCATCTGAATCACTCATCTAAATATATGTCCTCTCAACTCTTTCTCTCTCTCAGATGGTGGCATTAGAGAGGCAGGTGTTTGATTTCTTGGGCTACCAGTGGGCTCCTATCCTTGCAAACTTCTTCCACATCCTGGTTGTTATCCTGGGCCTTTTTGGCACCATTCAATACAGACCTCGCTATATTGTGGTGGTAAGTGCTGCTTTTAATTTATCTTTACTATGATGACCTTGTAAATCTCACAAAAAATCTGTTCAGGTCATATTTTAATCACCAAAATTAAAGTTTGGATATTTGCCATCTCATTGCTATGGAAGCTTGTTTCTGCCATGGAATAAAAAAAGCGACTTTCTTCTCACAATTTTGACTTTTTCGTACAATTGTTTGGTTATATCTCTCAATTCAGACTTTTTTTCTCACAATTCTGAACAAAAGAAGAATTGTAAAATGTTGACTTGCGAATTACGTGTTTATAACTGTGAGAAAAAAAGTCTGAATTGTGAGATTAAAAGTCGCATTTATCTTTTTTTATTCTGTGGTGGAAAAAAAATATAATGTGAGATAAGTCGCAATTACCAGCTTTTTATTTTTCAATTCTGTGGCAGAAACAGGCTTCCATACATTACAATAAATCATATAATGTGAATAAAATAAATAAGCATGATTTAAATGCATTACAATAATGAAAAAATAGTTAAGATTATAGGAATAGTCATAAAATAATCACAAAATGCAAAACAACAACAACAACAAAAATCATGTTATTTTTCATTCTGTTCATTTTGAAATATGACCCGGACATGTTCTTGACAGGTTTTGCTAGCTAAAAATATGTTTAATAACAGTGTCAATTTGGATGTTCCTTTATGACAAACTGTTTTAGAAATGCTTGTACGCAAATAGTGTTTGTGACACATGCAAATCTGCTTACTGTTGATCAAAGACAGCAGGCCTCTGAAACAGAATTGAACTCAGCCCTTAGCTGATAATTGACTCGCAGCACTGCAGACACTGGACTAGCCTTATATTTTGACACATTCTATGGCATTTTAATCCCCTAAATCTGCAACTAATTATCATGAATTAAATGATTAGAGTCCAGCTCCCTTCAGTTCCTCACTGGGTCAGTCCATGATGCAGCTTCACTTCAAGTTCAACAGGATTATCAAGCCTTTAGTTCAGTTGATGAGATGGGAAGCAAGCTATTTTTGGAATTTTAATATTCATACTGAATAGTCTTCAGTTTACATCATAGCTCAGTGAATCCATGGCTATGTTTGAAATAGCATAAAATTCTATTCTTCTTATTGCTACATCATAATTTATAATTCATATCTGAATATAGCATACTGTGCACAGTATGCAAATTTTCTGCATGCTTTGAAAAAACGAGACGGCCTACTAAGTTTGCCAAAATGTGTATATTGTGTAGAAGAATGTATGCATGACAAATGAGCTAGAAGTAACATCAGCCACAGTCAAATATCTATTTTGATTTCTTATTTAATCAGACTGACAGAAGTCAAGTCATTTTTAAACAAAATGGGGTTAAGTGTTGTTATTTTAATTTTTTTATTGTATGTGAGAAACATGAAGTCATGCAATATCAATGCAAAATACTATTGTTTGAAATTTTCATCATTGCAAAATGCATAGTTATTCCACTATTAAACTATTAAAAGATACATTGTATATTGCTCATTATGCTGTAAATACTAAGTTAATATTCCATTCCAATGCATTATTTGCTATGCATTTTGCTAGTGTTTTGCTGATATTTGTGGGCATTTTCATTCTGGATAGCATTGAAACCGATATAAAGATAGTCAAATATAAAACTGAGAAGATGAGTTAATTAGCCATTATTTTGTACTGATCTTTATAATAATACTCTGAGCTGCTCATTATACATTAGATTTACACGTATGATTACACCAAAATGTGATGCTAATTAATTTAAAACAGAAAATTCTCACATGGTGAGTAGAAATATCAAGTTAATCAAAGTGACAAAAAAGTTGAGAAGCCAAGAATAGAACAAAGCCGTGAGAAAAGACCGAAGGACGAGCCTGGAAACAAGACTTGCGGTGCTGAGACTCCTGGGAATGGTGAGGAGTATTGCTCAGGCTTGTGTCACTTCTGCTTCACAATGGGTTCAAATTACACCAGTCACCATATAATAGTGATTTGACGTGTGAATTATTCTGTCTGAGGTGCATCATTTCCCTTCAAGACATTCATTTTCTGAGAGATAGACGTATTAAAGCCTTAGTCTTGCTGACCTGTTTGTATTTTTTCATGAGTCATAAATGGATACAGTATCCTGTCAAACAACCAGTTTTAACTTTAAATGAATATTCTGTGTGAAATACAACTTCTTGTCCCTCAATTTATAGAAAAAAATGTAATGCAGTTATCTAATGTACAGTGGAAGTCAATGGCGTGATTGAAACGAAGTGCTTATGAGCAGAAATGCGAAGCTCGTATTGTTGTTAAAGCTCTTACATAAATGATGTAGTTTAAACCTTTATTATGTGATCTGTAACGTTGTCCTTTGAGGTGGGACTGCTTTTCTCGGTGGGTGGATGAATCTGCAGTAATGTGTTACCAGTGTAATTCCTGTGGATGGAGTTTGCCTCATGTAAACTTTCACAACTTTGCTCCATTTGAAACTTTGTGTGAAACTCAACTATCCAAAATAGAAAAATCCTCAGACAGTCTTCTGATCTTTGTATATCAGTGGAGGAAATCCCAGTGGAAGGTGTTTTGAAAAACTCGTTTGTAGGAAATTGCTCTATAAAGTCGTCTCAAGCTGGTCTTCTGTAAGGGTCTGACAGGAAACCTGAGATCCATTTTTACTCTTGTGCGGCATAAACGTCTGTATTCTCTTTAAACTCCCCATGCGCACTATCTGCTTCATGATAATGACAAAAATGAATGCACATACCTTTTTCTGTTTCCGGGAGTTTGTAGACCAGCAGGCTCAGTTTGGAGCGCTAATTCAGATTAGCATTTCAGTGGGATTTATAGGCTTATAAAAATCCTAAATGATTGTGTGTGGTAAACAACAGTACAAACGACCAGGAAGACAAAAGGCATGGTGTTCAAATGAGATGTTCTGCTATAAAAAGAAGATCAAATCAGAACAAAGAAAAATACAAATCTGGAGATAAAAGATAAGAGTGTGTAAAAGAAAGGTGCTTTTCTCAGGACTGAGCTCTAAATCCAAACACGCTCACTGCGGATGTTTTCAAGCATCTGCTCGACTTCTGTTTCCCATATACAACAGCTCTGATGTTACTGCTACTGGAACGGCTTGAGTTCAAACTTGTTCTAGATGGTAGTTGCCAGCCATGTCTTGCATAAAAGTGCTCCAGTGTGGTAGTTCAGTGGTACAGTGATGGTATCAGGTGGTAATACCACGGTACTTTGATATATACTATGGTACTGAATGGTTTTACTGAAAAAAATGTGATGTGATATGAAAATTCTGTCATCATTTACTCCTCTGTGGAGCACAAGAAGAGATTTTGGAAAAATGTTTTGTCTATACTATGAAAGTCAATGGGGTCCAAAAGTTGTTTTAGACCTCTTTCATTGTATGGACAAAAAAAAAAAGAAAACAAGTAAGTCATAAAGGTTTGTAATGACATGATGGGAAAATGCATTGTCCTTTGCCAATAGTGTAAAGATGTTTAAAGCACAGCTCACACAGAAGTCACTTTCAAACAAAGCGGCTTTTGGGTCATGTGACCAACTTGAACATGAGCGAAATCTGCTTTGGGAGGTTTTCACCCTCACACAAACTTGCCAAATGCGCAGATTCCTATTGAAATGACTGGATTTCGCCTGTGAAGTGTCTTCAAGCAACAGTAAATGTGACTGCACCTGTGGAGTGTAGCCTGTGTTTGAATGTTGGAACCAATGGTTGGAGTAATGAATTGTCCATCTTTTTGACAGTATACTGTGTGGACAGCGCTGTGGGTGGCCTGGAACGTCTTTATCGTCTGCTTCTACCTGGAGGTTGGAGGTCTATCAAAGGTAAGAGAGATTCCCATCTAAAGTTACACATTGGTCAGCCCTCAATGTTTAGGAGTACGAGGCATTTTAATGACCCTGTTTTACAGCTAAATGGGGCTATTTATGATGTTTTTACAGACTGTCTGAAACTTTATTTAGAAGTGCTAGTACCTACAGCTTTGTGTCTTTGGTTACCAAGTGTCTTACGCTTAAGTTTGCATTGAACACATAAGAAACTAGTACATCTTTGTAGAGGAAAAAAACAGAAGTTGTAGCAGTAGTTGTGTTATCCCCAACCCATCCCATCCCATGATACACGTCTGTCTACGTGTGCTGGCAGGTCATGGACTCAAACACTCAGCCCCTAGTGTGTTAGCAGTGAGAAACAAGCTCGCTGTATAATTTACACATCCTCCTCTCTCTGTGTGTGCTTGTTTATGACTCCTGCTTGGCCTGTTTCCTGGACTCAGATTTCTTGTTCTCACAATGAAAAGCTCTTATCCGCTTTCAGGAGGTGGAGTGAAATTGGACAAGAACATCTTAAAGTCTGCAAGTAAATCTGCTACATGTGTAATGAGCTGCTGTTCTTTCAGAATTAACCTTTTCCACTATTGTCGGTGCTGCATTAGACAAAATGGCTCTGGAAGGAAATATTTGTCCCAAAAAACAATGTTCAAACTTATACAGAATTCATATAGGAAATATCAGAATCAGAATCAGAATGAGCTTTATTGCCAGGTATGTTTACACATACGAGGAATTTGTTTTCGTGACAGAAGCTTCTTATTGGGTTTGGGTGACCATGATTTTTATCAAGCAGAATGTGTTCCTGGATCAACATACTCAATTTTCCTGGAACTAACCAATCCGATTTCAGGGTTAGGTTTAGAGTTAAGTTAGGGCTAAGTTTGGGGTTTGAGCATAATTTAATTTCCCTCTAATTTTAAGAAAAACTAATAGTTGTGGTTGGAAATAGGGTTAGGATGATGTTTTGTTTGACGGGAATTTTGTTCCAGGTCCAATAAAAGAGGTTAATTACATCCTCCTTGGTAAACACTGGCACTGTTGGGATGTGTAGGAATGTCCTGCATACTTGCATTGAAGATGTTTCAATACTGGTTTTGCTTCAGAACCCAGATTTTACATTGGACATCAAGTGGCAAGACAACGCAGTATCAAAATTGTTTACAATACAAAATTCAATACAAAATTCTTAATTCAGCAAGGATGCATTAAATTGATCAAAAGTGATCATAAAAACATTTGCAATGTTACAGAGAATCATGAAAAAATATTATGGTTTCCACAAAAATATGAAGCAGCACAACTGTTTTCAACATAGATATTAAGAAATAAGTAGATAATAAGATGTTAAAATAATTTTTGAAGGATCATGTGACACTGAAGACTGGAGTAATGATGCTGAAAATTCAGCTTTGCATCACAGGAATTGCATTTTTTTTATATATTCAAATAGAAAAGAGTATTTTTAAATTGCAGTAATATTTCACAATATTTCTGTTTTTACTGTATTTTTAATAAAATAAATTCAGCCTTGATGAACATACAAGACTTCTTTCAAAAACATAAAAAAATTTTGACGACCCCAAACTTTTAAACAGTAGTTTATTTATATATTTCTTACATATCTTGCTTTGAAAAATCTCAACAGGCTTGTTCTTATAGTTTGAGTGTTTGGTTTCTCGGTGTCTCTTAAATTTCAATGGCTTCATGCTCTTAGCAGCCAATAATTCATCCCACAAAGCCTAATGTGTTCAGCACAAACCGTCCTTGTCTGTGTATCAGCTGTATTTAATGTTGTTTGATTCATGTATTTATTTGAACCTTTTTAGTTTTGTTCTTTGCTCACAAGAGAGTTGTGTAATTGGACTCATGGCCTTGGACAATATCAACAAAAGATATGGGAAGTGCTTTCTGCACTTTAAGTTTATTTATTAATTTATTATATGCTTATGTACTCTGTTACATTTTATCCCACCTTTATTTTTGTGTTTTTCCTTTCATCCTCATCCTCTGCTTCCTCTGTCTCACACAGTCACGCTCCGTCACTCCCTCCCTTTTCTTTACTGTGCTGTCACAGGTGGGACGCCCTTCCCCCCAAACCCCCCTCACCTCTATAAAGTCAATGCATGAATATTCATTAGCTGATTCAGACAGATCTGCTGTCCAGAAAGCAGCGAGTAGTAGCGCATTGATCCTTTCTTTTCTGTCTCTGTGTGTTTATATGTGTGTGTGTGTGTGTGTGTTTTCTCCATTAGCCGCTTGTCCTCCTGCTGTCCATATGTGGCAGTGAGGGAGCGCTGTTTGTCCATCTGTTGGGTTAATGCCTGAGTCCGGCCCTCTGCCACCTGCTCCTCATAACACCCCATTATTCAGCATGCACCCACTGCATTAACACGGCCCACCTCAACCCTCAATGAAACACCTCAAAATATGACTGTCTCACTGCTGTCTCTACTGTCATACGGCAAATGACACACCATATGATAATATCATGCTGCACTGAGGACCCCCTACTGTAAGACTGATTATGATTAGACTGTGATGAGAAGAATCACAAACAGTCTGACATTAGATTCTATCTATCTATCTATCTATCTATCTATCTATCTGTCTGTCTATCTGTCTGCCATCTTGCAGTGTTAATCATATCTCTCTGTCTTGTAACGTTGAGCGTATATGTCCATCTGTCAGTGTGTTTATCATATCTGTCTGTCTGTCTCACAATGTGTTTGTCATATCTGTCTGTCTCGCAGTGTGTTTATCATGTCTGTCTGTCTCTGTGTTTATCATGTCTGTCTGTCTTGTAGTGTTTCTGTCTGTCTGTCTCTCTCGCAGTGTGTTTATCATGTCTGTCTGTCTCTGTGTTTATCATGTCTGTCTGTCTTGTAGTGTTTCTGTCTGTCTGTCTCTCTCGCAGTGTGTTTATCATGTCTGTCTGTCTCGTAGTGTTTCTGTCTCTCTCACAGTGTTTATCATGTCTGTCTGTCTTGTAGTGTTTCTGTCTGTCTCGCAGTGTGTTTATCATGTCTGTCTGTCTCTGTGTTTATCATGTCTGTCTGTCTCGTAGTGTTTCTGTCTGTCTCTTTCGCAGTGTGTTTATAATGTCTGTCTGTCTCGTAGTGTTTCTGTCTGTCTCTCTAGCAGTGTGTTTATCATGTCTTGTCTTTCTTGTAGTGTTTCTGTCTGTCTCACAATGGGTCTCATTCACTAATAATTGTGTAGATTATTTGTATTTATACACACATTCAATCTTCTCACAAAAACTTTCTGCCTAATTCACAACACGTGTGTACGCACATAAATTTGTTAACCTCGTCCAAATGTAAGTGAATATGGAGTGTTCTAAATGAGCGGCCGCGCTCATGAGGTTAGTCATTAACACAAATCACGCCCAAACCATCTCCATATAAGGGCTTTCCACACAACCTTTCCTTTACAGCATTTCGTCACTCTCATCGAATATGCTTAACGTAACCCCATATGCAGCTCTTTACATAAGCGTTCTCGCCAGATCCTTGGTCAATGCCAAGTGCACAGTCCTCAAAACCAGTTCAAACACATAAACACATCTAAACAGACCCAGTTTACAGACCTCTCATTTGCCAGCTGTACATACTGCACTTACATACCTCGCAGCTCGAGCTATAGGCTAACTCAGCTTTTCTTACTCTTTTACTGTATATGAAGTATTTTTTAATATTTTTAAGATAAACATAAATTTCATTGTAACTATATAGTATATATAAATGTATATAGCTAGCCGTGTTAAGATGCAATATTTTTTACCCTGATTATTAAGTCCACCCAGAGTATGTGCTTTTTGCGTACATGCTTACAGTTATTCCTATATTTTTCATAAATTTAGAATAAATTTTAGTACGAAGGTTTTTAGTGAATCATGATTTGTTTGCAAAAACGTTAGTACACAGGATTCACGCACAAATTTGTTCGTATGCATGCTTAGTGAATGAGACCCTATGTGTCTCGCAATGTCTGTCTATATGTCTCTCTGTCTCACAATGTTTATCATGTCTGTCTTTCTCAGTCTCACAATGTGTTTATTATATCTGCCTGCCTGTCTGTCTCTCGGTGGGTAGGTGTCTTTAAATAACTATTTATTGTAGTTCTTCTTGCTTGAATTGCAATTACTACTTACTATTTGCTATACAAATTCAAATTTATTTTAGGAATTGAAGTGTGATATAAGCATTCTCAATTTAGTTCTGAATGCCGCCCAGTGCTGGCATCCATAAAGTGCAGGCAAAATATAACGTGAGATGTCAAGCTGTCAATATGATAGTGTCCACCTATGATGTTCCAAACGCACGCTCAAATCAGCATGAGTGAGTCAAACTGGTGCAAACAGACAAACAAATTAAATAAACACCCACTCACTCATCATCACTTTTGGTCACATATGAATCGAACAGTTTTTAGCAGATAAATTATAAAATGCACCTCCATGCCTGCCAGCATAAATACATTGCAGTGTTTACAGATTTTAATTACTAATGATACAGGAAAAAAGGTGACTATTAATAATATAAATATTAATTTTAGAAGTCTACCACACAGTGCTCTTTCTTTGATCTTTAATCTTCCATGAGCAAATAGAGGTGGCTTAAAGTATTTTGCTGTCATCAACAACAAAACGGCACATGAATCTATGTTAGCTTTGAGTGCTCCCATGGAAACTAATAATTCAGAAGACTCAAACCGCTCAGAGTCGAACCACAGAGTTGTCATCTCATAATTACGATAACTCTGACACAACATGAACGTGGAATTAATCTCTCACATTCAGATAATGGAGAACCATATTAACTCTCTGAACATGAGACATGTACTTTCACTGAAGAGGAAAGGCATATTAAGTGGTTGGGCACTTTATGAAATGCTCTCTCTCTCTGTCTGCTTGATTGAGGTGTTTTGGTGGGGTTGTCCTCTCATGCATGGCCGCCGGCTGTGGCTGTCAGTCTCACACTGTGGCTGTGATTAAATACGGGACAGGACGGTCTGTATCGACCCCCTCCCCGAACACACAAACACACACTCCTCTCAATGACATATAGTGACGCGTATAATGATAATGCCTGCTGATGATGAAGGGGACAAATGCCTCTGTGCCTCCATCAGCCAGAAAGAGGTCAAGGACGAGTTCCTCTCTAATAAGCATAGGAAAAGTCCATAAGTTTTCATTTTGACAAGTGTCATTCATCTCATACAGCCTGAGAACTGTGTGGATTGACAGAATCCATTACATCTGATGTACACGTATCCGTGAGCATATGAGGAACATTTGCAACACAGACGCATAACTCTGAGGAGACAATTGTGTTTCACGGCACTTTCACACTTGCATGCAGCATTCAGTTTAAGGACTGTGTGAATAGATGCCTACATAAGTAATCCCTTTATTTGCAGGAATATATTAATCAAGAGTCAGAAATCTTGATTTCAAATGGAAAGATGTGTTGTCAGATAGTATTGCTGAATAAATGGCACGAAATGATAGTAGGGCTGGGATATATAAGTAGAAATATGTTTTTTTTTCTCACTTTTATGATGTTTGATGTATTTCTTGATATTTATGTACTTGCTTTCATGTGTAAAATCGGTCATAAATATGACCACAACAAATAAACAATGAACGCATATTGAAAGCGATCATGTGCTTCCTCCATCTTTTGTATGTATACGCGTCTTTCCTCCCTCTCTCATGTCTATGGAACAGATTCTTTGTCGGTCCCGTGTTAAATTATGCATGCATGCTTTACAGCGCGCAGCCCCTCTGTCACTCACTCCCTCATCCTTTATATTGACATGTGGCTGAGGCTGACGACAGCTTCTCCTCTCTCTTGTTTTAGGACAGTGATCTCTAATATCATATCATATCATATCATATCATATCATATCATATCATATCCAGATCAAATATTATTTTAAAGAAATTAATGCTTTTATTCAGCAAGGATGCATTAAATTGATCAAAAGTTACCGTAAAGTCATTTTTAATTTTATAAAAGATTTCTATTTCAAATAAATGGTGAAAAAAACTGTTTCAGTTTCCACAAAAATATTAAGCAGCACAACTGTTTGCAACATTGATAATAATCAGAAAGGTTTCTTGATCTTGTAATCATATTTCACAATATTATTGTGTTTGTATTTTTGGCCTTCATTACATTATTAATGTAATGTAATATTACATTACATTACATTATATTACAGTCTGCATGTCCTTCGGTATTTTCATGCTCATTGACTGAAGGCATATTGCTCACCGTCACACCTAAGTTGTATCTGTTCATGCTTGTTTTCGACTGTTTGTCTGAGGACTAAGCAAATATCTGTGGAAATGAAGACTGCATGTTAGAGGAGGTGGTAGGGGGGTGTTTCACTGTAGGGTTAGAAGTGCCGGAAGCTTCTTCAGAGTGATGATTATCTGCTCATGCTCCAACAATGAACTGCTAACTTCATGGTGAGAGTTGAACAAAGTGGCCTCCAGGAAGTGAGAGCTTAAACACACTCTCCAGTCAAGCTCCTACAGGCTTCTTCAATGGGAATGCAGAGATTAGTTAGAGGGATACAGATTTTTATCTCCAGTGCTTAAAGTGCTCAGCTTGTGGTCTTGTCAAAATTTGAGAATGAAGTAAGAAAATGTTTAGAAGAATGAGATGAAGGCTAAAGGGCCAAATTAATCTCTTTTTTCATTAAGAATGAAATAATTTTTTGGACTATAAAGCCGTTTTTGCATTGTCAGTGCAGAAAAAAAAATCATTACTTTAAAGGAATGACATTACTCTAAAAATCAAGTTAAAAAAATTTCTATGTATTCAGTATATAATTATTATAATTTATATTATAATTAGTATCATGAATTCCATATAGACTTCTTACCTAATTAATTTTAAAACCCACTGAAGGAAAAAAATGAAAAATATATAATATAAATATATTTACACGATATTTATATAATAATAATAATAATTATTGTTTTTATTATTGGGAGAAATATGACACATTTCTTGACATTTTTCATTAAATTCACGCACGCGACAAGTGGTGGTGGTGGGCAAGATTGGGAGAGAGGGGCTTGTGTCACCTGTGTGACAGATTGTTTTGTTGCTCAGAATTGAGAGGGCAAACGATAGAGCAAGCGAGTAGAGCCAGATCATAAACATTTCTGAGGTGTGTGTGTGTGTGTGACTTCAGAACTAGGTCACTATCAAAAAGACAAAAAATGAATAGTCATGTTCTTATGCTTCTGAGAGGACAGTCAGAGAGTAGAGTAGGACACACACCAGAGATGACAAGTGAACAACTGAAAGAGTCATTAGCAGAGCTACATGTAAATCCCTCCCTCTATGACAACTGAGAGGTGCGTATGTGAGAGCACCATCTGTTTTCCTCATTAGTGTAACTCAGAGGGAGCTACCTGTGCAGAGAACTCATAAACATCGCCCTTCAGATGAGAACTATTCTTCTGTTCATCATCCTTCATCACGTTTCTGGGATTACAATAATCAGAAAGGTTTCTTGATCATTAAATCAGCATATTAGAATGATTTCTGAAGGATCATGTGACACTGAAGACTGGAGTAATGATGCTGAAAATTCAGCTTTGATCACAGGAATAAATTACATTTGAAAATATATTCAAATAGAAAACAGTTATTTAAAATTTAAATTGTAATCATATTTCACAATATTACTGTGTTTGTATTTTTGGCCTTCATTACATTATTAATGTAATGTAATATTACATTACATTACATTATATTACAGTCTGCATGTCCTTCGGTATTGCTGAGGCTGACGACAGCTTCTCCTCTCTCTTGTTTTAGGACAGTGATCTCTTGACCTTTAACATCTCGGCACACCACTCCTGGTGGAGCGAGCATGGGCCAGGCTGTATCCGAAGAGAGATCCCCGCCAGCGGAGACCGCAGTGCAGACGCACAGTCCTATATATCCATCATGGGCTGCCTGCTGGAATACCAGTACATAGAGGTCCTGCACAGCAGCTTCCAAATCCTTATCTCTGTAAGTCACTCCAAACACATACACATACACGCACAAACAAATTATATGCCATGTTTTTACTATAGTTTATGGTCTCCCCACTCTATATTTACACTTACTATATTTGTATGTCTGCTTCTACATAGCATAACTAAAAGCATCCCATAATATACGTTTTTCCAGACACACTTCCATCCTAATGGTGCTTTTTCATTATCTTAGGAAATCATTGGCTGTCTCTCTACACTTAACCAGTCCTTTAAAACTACAGCAGTCTAAAGTGTAGCCTGCACACACTGTGCATGTGTAAACCGCCCCTGTCTGAGTCCTGAAGCTCTGCTGTTGTGCTGAAGTGGCCCCTTGAGTTGAGGTCTGGCGCGGCTCCAGGGTTAGTTGGGCATTATATTCAGCAGGCAGCAAGCAGAAGGACTGTGAGCTCATTTTCTGAATAGGGATTTGTTTTTATTAACTTAAATGCACTGCGCACAATGGCCTCCAGAAGTAGTTGGATTTAAGCCACACTTATAATGTCTGAATTATTGCATTAGATACAAAAAGCAAAATATTAAACCAAGTGGCATCAGCAAACTAAAATATAATATAATATAATATAATATAATATAATATAATATAATATAATATAATATAATATAATATAATATAATATTTCAGCTTTGATCACAGGAATAAATTACATTTGAAAATATATTCAAATAGAAAACAGTTATTTAAATTGTAATCATATTTCACAATATTATTGTGTTTGTATTTTTGGCCTTCATTACATTATTAATGTAATGTAATATTACATTACATTACATTATATTACAGTCTGCATGTCCTTCGGTATTTTCATGCTCATTGACTGAAGGCATATTGCTCACCGTCACACCTAAGTTGTATCTGTTCATGCTTGTTTTCGACTGTTTGTCTGAGGACTAAGCAAATATCTGTGGAAATGAAGACTGCATGTTAGAGGAGGTGGTAGGGGGGTGTTTCACTGTAGGGTTAGAAGTGCCGGAAGCTTCTTCAGAGTGATGATTATCTGCTCATGCTCCAACAATGAACTGCTAACTTCATGGTGAGAGTTGAACAAAGTGGCCTCCAGGAAGTGAGAGCTTAAACACACTCTCCAGTCAAGCTCCTACAGGCTTCTTCAATGGGAATGCAGAGATTAGTTAGAGGGATACAGATTTTTATCTCCAGTGCTTAAAGTGCTCAGCTTGTGGTCTTGTCAAAATTTGAGAATGAAGTAAGAAAATGTTTAGAAGAATGAGATGAAGGCTAAAGGGCCAAATTAATCTCTTTTTTCATTAAGAATGAAATAATTTTTTGGACTATAAAGCCGTTTTTGCATTGTCAGTGCAGAAAAAAAAATCATTACTTTAAAGGAATGACATTACTCTAAAAATCAAGTTAAAAAAATTTCTATGTATTCAGTATATAATTATTATAATTTATATTATAATTAGTATCATGAATTCCATATAGACTTCTTACCTAATTAATTTTAAAACCCACTGAAGGAAAAAAATGAAAAATATATAATATAAATATATTTACACTATATTTATATAATAATAATAATAATTATTGTTTTTATTATTGGGAGAAATATGACACATTTCTTGACATTTTTCATTAAATTCACGCACGCGACAAGTGGTGGTGGTGGGCAAGATTGGGAGAGAGGGGCTTGTGTCACCTGTGTGACAGATTGTTTTGTTGCTCAGAATTGAGAGGGCAAACGATAGAGCAAGCGAGTAGAGCCAGATCATAAACATTTCTGAGGTGTGTGTGTGTGTGTGACTTCAGAACTAGGTCACTATCAAAAAGACAAAAAATGAATAGTCATGTTCTTATGCTTCTGAGAGGACAGTCAGAGAGTAGAGTAGGACACACACCAGAGATGACAAGTGAACAACTGAAAGAGTCATTAGCAGAGCTACATGTAAATCCCTCCCTCTATGACAACTGAGAGGTGCGTATGTGAGAGCACCATCTGTTTTCCTCATTAGTGTAACTCAGAGGGAGCTACCTGTGCAGAGAACTCATAAACATCGCCCTTCAGATGAGACCTATTCTTCTGTTCATCATCCTTCATCACGTTTCTGGGATTACACTTTTAGCCCTCAAAGACTGATTTAGCTTTTTGTTTTTTTACCATTTTGGTCTGCCGTGATTGTTTTTCTTTCAATGTTTTTGCACAAATGCAGTGATTTATTATATTATGAGGACTAGTTTGGCATTATTATTATTATGTTTTTATTGTACATTTTTTTTTAAGTTTGATAAAAGTTAACAAATTAATGTTCCAAAGTTTAGTAATTGTCAGACTCTGTTCCGTGTTTTGTGGTTGTTTTACTCCTCATGTGCCTTCCTTTCCCATGTTTAATTTGTCCCAGGTGTTTCCCTTGATGTTTCATTGCTCCCAGGTGTGTCTCGTCATCCCCTCCTCCTGTGTGTATAAATAGGGTTCCCTGTGTGTGCTCCAGCGTCCGGTATTGTTCATGTCATTATGTATAGCGTGAGTGTTCCATGTTCCGTTGTGTCAATTAAACCCAGTTGGATTGATGTACTCCTCGTCTCTCTCCGTTCCTTGCTCCTCAGTCCGCTCAGCAGTGCACCCGTGACAGTAATGGGGTTGCAAAATAAAATAAAATTTTAATAAAATAATATAATATTTTAGTTTGACCTGTAACATTTCATATGACCTCCTAAGGTTGACGGTCAACATATTTTAAAAGTTAAGCATCTTCTCTTACTCACAATTTTTTCAAATAATTTTTTTTTTTTTACTGCTGTTGTAACTAGTATGTGTCTCAGTTTTCATTTTTCTGTGCTTTTTCTGTTTGTGTTTTATCAGCATAAGTGGGTGGATGAGTTCATTCCTCTTCCATTTTAGTCTCTCACTGTTTTCCCTCTTTTTTTCTCGTCTGACATCTCTTTCCTTTCATATCTCAGTTGCTTCTCTCTTCAGTAAAACACTGAAGTCAAGCTAAGGGAGTTGCTTCAAGAACAAGAATAATATCTTGTTAGGATGGTATGGGAATTCATCACTTCCTTTCCCATCATGCTCTCTGCCCCAGGGAGCAAAAATAGATGGCTGTAAATTCAAGAAACTTTTTAGCTGAGATTCAATCCCCACTGAGAATTGGGGGTGGGGGAATGCACAAAGAATGCACACTTTCCCAAAAAAAATTGTACCAGCTGTTAAACACCTTGTGAATAATCAATATAATGAATTTTCATTATGAACTTACTACTACTTGATTACCTGGCATGGTTGCTACTACTGCTATTACTAATTACTACTGCTGCTGCTGCTACTACTACCAATAATAAATGATTCTCTAGGGATTGCCATAAGATATATGGCATACGTTTCAAATGTTAAGAAATCAACCGTTTAAAAATGTATGATTCCTGGGTAAATTCCTGCCCATTTTCCTTCAGCACCCAAACACACTTTAAAAAAACGGTCACGTTCAAACTCTGCAGCGTTATCACAAATTCAGCTTGTTTTACGCCCATCCAGACTGTTGCTGAGCGCATGTCTGAGACCATGATTAAGAAAAGTTTCACTTCAAAGTGGCTCCCTTCGCTCCCTGCGGCGGTTTAATCACTTCTCATGTGCACACAAATGTAAGTGGATGTTTGATTAGACGTGGCCAGTTGCAAACATCTGAGAACAGTTTGTTTAGCCGCTCTGCAGCCATGACAGGTGGAATATTTTTGCCTGGTATTTAATCTCAGATCTGGTGGGTGTGAAGTGCTGTAAGAATAAATGATTCTCTAGGGATTGCCATAAGATAGGACGTTTCAAATGTTAAGAAATCAACCGTTTAAAAATGTATGATTCCTGGGTAAATTCCTGCCCATTTTCCTTCAGCACCCAAACACACTTTAAAAAAACGGTCACGTTCAAACTCTGCAGCGTTATCACAAATTCAGCTTGTTTTACGCCCATCCAGACTGTTGCTGAGCGCATGTCTGAGACCATGATTAAGAAAAGTTTCACTTCAAAGTGGCTCCCTTCGCTCCCTGCGGCGGTTTAATCACTTCTCATGTGCACACAAATGTAAGTGGATGTTTGATTAGACGTGGCCAGTTGCAAACATCTGAGAACAGTTTGTTTAGCCGCTCTGCAGCCATGACAGGTGGAATATTTTTGCCTGGTATTTAATCTCAGATCTGGTGGGTGTGAAGTGCTGTAAGTGTGTTTGTGTGTGTGTTGCAGCGAGAGCACTTTTGTGAAGTGATGTTGAGAGCGCTCTGATTCAGATGTGATACGGCTGTGAATTCTGCCTCCAGGCGACTGAAGTAGAGAGAGAGCCCTGTTGAAAAAACCAGCATATGCTGGTATGTTTTGAAGCATGGCAGCTGGTTTGAACTGGTTAGTTGAGCTGTTTACGGAGTCTGTAAGAGTGTGTGTGTGCACATATGGAGAGGCACAGCCACACTCAATCAGCTGGACTAATTTCTGTCGCAGCGGGGTGACATTGGCACATAATTAACCTGTCAGACATCATGTTCATGTGGTGGGTCAAAGCATTAGGTTTTTGTGATGTGTGTCCATCTTTCATCTACTTAACAGGCTCTGGGTCTGTTTTACTGCAGTCTCTCTTATTATTTCTCTCTCTCTCTCGGCTTTAGCCAGCTGAAACTAAGGTAGATAACGCTACTTGAGAGCAGGTAAGAAATGGAAGTGGATTTTTAGGACTGATCCTCCAGCTGGTGGTGTCCCTTGTAAAGTAGTACGTAGTATCCTTTAGCTTACTTCTAAAAGAGTACTTATTATGGAAATAATATACATAATATACTAAAGTATGATCTGAATATAAAGTTTTTCGAACACTTAATTGCAAGTACGTGAAAATATATTATAGTTTAAATTTTTATGAAATTTTTTAAGTCTTTACTATCACTTTTTTATCAATTTAACTTATCCTTGCTACTAATTTCTTAAAAACAAAAAAAATAAATAAATAAAAGTTGCAGACCCCAAACTTTTGAATGGT